CACTTATCCTTCGGAAATCCCGATCACTTACGCTTCGGAAATCCCGATCACTTACGCTTCGGAAACACCGACCACTTACCTTTCGGAAACACCGGCCACTTACCTATGGGAAACGCCGACCACTTACCTATCGGAAACCTCGGCCTCATCCTATTCGGAAGGGCCGGCCGGTGCGGAGGCCCCAGATCGTCTTGAAGACGCGGAGAGTATGCCGTCGAGGAAACGCAAAGTGCCTTCTGTGTCGCCAAGGAAACTCGACTGGAGACGCGAGGAGGCCGCGCAAACGGAAGGGCAGCCCTTGGTGACGGGTGCACCGGCAAGCAGCGCACCGCTAAAAGAGTTTTGGGAGCAGGCTTCGCACTCATTGTTCGATGACAGGTTACTGCGGGCGTTTGGAATAACATGGAGCCAATCGCAGTCGCCTTCGTCGAGCTGCCGCACGAACGATCAGGTCGAGTGAGGTATCTCGGATTGGCCTGGGCTTTTTCGTCTTAACTTTTTATCAAGCCGCCAAGTAACGGATGAGTGAATATCTTCGGTGAATTCAGGAAGATGTTGTCTGGAGGATGGTGACGGCCGACTCGGATGATGGAGACGGCCGACTCGGAGGACGTGTGTTCTGCTGCTGCTGCACCCGGGTCAGAGAGCGAGAAACATTCAACGTTGACGAAGAGCGAGTTGACGAAGAAACATTCCGTGCCAGGGTTAGTTGGTCGAGAAATATTCGGTGATGAAGTTGGAGGTTGCCGCAGTGGGTCCCGAGCAACCTGCGAAGCGTCCTGCTACGGGGCCGTCGAAGAATTCTGACGATTTCGGGTGACAACCTTTTCGAATGTTGCCCAAAGGTCCTCTTAGCTAATGCGGGATGTCCGAGTAGGTTCGCTCTCCCCCATCACAGCCTGTCACATCCCGTCAGTTATGGCTAGAAGCGGCCCGTTGGGATAACATGTTCCCGGATAACATGTTCCCATCATATCGTGAACGTCCGCGCCGGTGGCCACATCTGCGTCGGTTTGAGTCGCACACACATCGAACCGAGATCGTAGTGATCGATAGGGCGCTAACGTCGCATAACTTACTCGCATATAATGTGATGGTAACAAAAGTACGAGTCGCACTGGATAAGTCGATATTGTCCCCCGGTTGGTTAGCTAAAAGACGACCGGCTGGAACTCCGGTTCGGGCTGGAGTTCCAGCCGGCCGTCTTTTAGCTAACCAGGAAGAATTCAGGGCGGTTTGAAGGCACAGCAGGTGTTGAATTCACAGCGGATCGATCGGCCTGGATCCGCAGTTTCGAGACGTGTGGCCTTGCTTACGTAGTGTTGGCCGTTTCCATATATTCACATTCCCGTGCGGTATTGTAGATATCAATGCTCAAGAGGCCACCGAGCAGACGATGCACTCGACCGGAGGGGGGACCGAATTGAGCCAAAATGTCCTTTAACGGACAGGGAGCCGAGAGGCTGTGCGAGGGATGTCTTCTGCAACGTACTAAGGCGTGCATCCTGAGGCCTACAGATCGAATTTTGTGAAACGGAATTGGAATAAAACTTCGCGGTCACGTGAGCACCACGGACTTCAGGCCCGTGTGAAAGATGTGCGGATGTCGACTTGCGAAAGAGGTCCCAACTACGCTTGTTAAAGCAGACCTCGTCAGGACCGCGAGCGGTGCGTGTGACCGTTCTTTGGCGACGCCGTCACAAGTTAAGCTGCTTCAGGCCCCACCGTGTCGGAAAAGGAATTTGACGAAAGGTTGGGATTGGTCAAAGCCAAAGTATGAGTCGCACCCCAGGAGGTGTAGTACCTAGAGGTTGGAAGCAGTCGACATGTTCATCCAACGGCAGGAGAAGATACAGTTCAAGACCTGCGGTGAGTGGCGGCTTCATGAATTCGTTCGTGGAAACAGCGCGAAATGAATCGCTACTATTTTGTGGACCCCAGAGAGCTTCTGTAAACATGCTGTGTGCTAGGGCGCGTCTACTGGCGGCCAGGTAACGGTCAGGGACGTTCGCCACCAGTGTTCTGCCAAGTCTAGCTGCTTCGGGAAGTTGGACATGTTGGGGAGGGCATGCGTTGGTTAGGAGTGAGTTCAGAGTCGCAGCCTGCCTGGCTCAGGATTTCTTTGCATGGATCTGGGTGGGGAAAATACCGGATAGTTAATTGCCCGCGGCGGATGTTGCGGGTGTCGAGTAGTCGACGAAGTGCGTGGGCGTTGTGGACATGTTTTGTGCAAGGCGTGCCAGGGACGGTCTCTGCACGGGCGGTGTCTACGACTAACGTCGGTCCGGCTGACGTCGGTACGACTAACGACGGTCCGACTAGCGACGGCAGGCTTGGATACCGCCAAAGTCAGTTTGCTTCGGAAACTTGCTCTGTTCCCGAGACAGGTGAAGGCGGATGGTACTTGACTGACGTTGACGAAGTCGGTTGGGACTGGTCCAGCGTCTCGGAAAAAGACTACGAATTGTATTGGATAAGTCGCTTCTGGTTGCCGCTGGATAAGCGGGGATTCGATCTGTTGGAGTCGCGCGTTTCAGCAAGACCTTGCGTTCGTCGTACAGCGTGGATCAGTAGAGGTGCTGCGTTTGCTGGGGTTGTCCTGAAACGAGGAGTCCGCCATCCGTGGGCACTGGCAGCGGGAGCAAGACCGGCTCGCCCGAATTACATTCCATCGGTAGGCAGAAGGCGACGTGGCGACATTCCCGATTTGATGGGTAAAGAGCGGAGCGATTTCGAAGCATATCAGGTGCTGCATGGATCGATTCCCCGAGAGGCTTGGATGAGGCTTACGACCATTGATACCCGTAGTTTCGAGAGGTGTCGTCTTGCTTACGTGGAGCTTGCCTGTATTATTTCTGCTTATTTCTCGTCACCATACGGCGTTGTAGATGTCAGTATCAAGGATGCGATCGATTGCGTGGTGCCTTCGACGAAGACGAACCGTCACCGTTACTGGACCGTAGGATGTCTCCTGCAACATTCAGGAGCTTCTATCAAGCGGCTGGCCGAATTTTGCGTTATGAAGTTGTGTTATAACCCGATTGGTCGGCGCTATGCTCTCCAGTGTCTCCGCCCCTATACGCGGACCTCGCCCTCCCGTAGAAGTGACTCGGCACGGTTGGACATTTTGAACTCTCGTTTATCAGCACTGCCTGTAGTGTTGGCGAAGACATTCGCTCAACTAACTCAAAAACAAGTAAGTGACTACATGGAGCAAGCGACCAAGAATCAGACCGTCGTAGCGCTGGTCCAAGAGCCTTTGAATCAAGGAGATTGGGACAAAGCATTGGCGGAATGTCTTTCCTATGCGGCGGGCTCGACAGCAGTTGCACGTAAACAAGGGAAGAACCAGGCGCGACGTCGTCGCGGGGGATGTGGTCGAACCCCTGCTGTAGGTTCAGGGCGCGTAGTCGAGCACCGTGGGGAGATGCTGCCACAGACGCGGATCGCGCCGAACACATCGGCAGTACCTACACGAGGAGTGATCGACGACGAGACTGTGTTGTTGAGAAAGAGACGGATTCCGCAGGCATACCCTCACCTAGCGAAGAAAAAGGGGACTGAAGGCGGGTTTGGGTCGGCCTTGAACGGCCACCAATATGTGTTTGGGGCTTGAGGGCAGTCGGTAGTCGATGCACCGACAGTGGAGGTACTGATGCTCGACGTAGCGACGCACGACATGACGACGTTCGACGTACCGGTGGCCGAAGAAGCGAAAGCTAATGGCGTGCTGCATGCCGGCTGCATACCCAGATGTGTATCAAACCCCTGGGTAACTCTTCGAAGTAAGTCAAGAACTCTCCGGGCGAGACCCCGACCATATTACACCAAAAACGGCCTGTCGAGGACGAAATAGGATTTGCAGTGAGGGCGGGTTCATGAATGCATTCGTCCGACAATGTGGAACAGCATGGAGTATGGACCGCTTCCAGTCCGAGATGTTCGCGGTCAATGCCCTACCGAGTGACGCTGAACGGGCTGTGAATTTTAGGAACGCGTAGGCTCTTAAAAGAGGCCTCCGTACTGTAGCGAGTGATGGCTTTATGAAAACATTAACGCGGAGTACAAGAACGATTCGGGTGGGTGTAAACGGTTCATTTTTCTTGACGAAGGAGCTGGTAAACATGTTTACGATCATGGATTAGAATATTAATTCACCTGGGGAAGATGTTGGCAGTTTGCGGTCGACGGAGGTCATTATGGACTATGTGTGTGCTTAGTGTGTATACCGCAGTACCGGCGGTTGAGTCAGGGACTCGGTCAGAAAGGGAACTCAATGGCGACGGTTGGATGTGGTCAAGTGTCTCAAACGAAAACTATGAGTCGTATTGGATAAGTCGGTTTTGGGTGCCTTTGGACGAGACCGGATTCGAACTATTGAAACCTCAAGTCTCAGGCAGAGCATACCTTCGTCGGAAGGCTTGGGTCAGCAAAGGGGCTGCTTTCGTTTCTGCGCTCCTGAACTCAGGAGGACCGTCCCAGCCGTGGTCAATGACGAAAGAACAGATGCGTCCTTATTACATTCCAGTTCTAACCAGGAGACAACGACCTGATACGGCCAGAATAATGCAAACTGATTTCCAAGCGCACCAGTTATTGCATCGATCCATGCCCCCACATGCTTGGATGAGGCTCATAACTATACGACCAAAAAACTTCGAGATGTGTGCACTTGCATATGTGGAACTTGGCGCAATTATTTCCAAGTATTTCAAATGCCCTTATGGCCTTGTAGATCTGGAAATTAACCGGGAAATCGAGAAGATGATGCCCTCGAGCAACATGGGATGTATCGGAAAACGACGGCGTTTGTGGACCGTGGGATGTCTTTTGCAACACGCTCAGGCGTCTATCACTCGGCTTATGGAATTTTGCCTTAACGATTTGGGGTATAACCCTTCTTGGCCCTATGGTACTCCCGGATATGAATGTCTCCGAGACAGTTGGCAAAGACCTGCATCCGAAAAAAATCCTCAGTTACGATCATCTTTATTGAACAAGTTCTTGTCAGAATTGCCGGAGATATCGGCACGAGAATTCGCTGAACTAACTCGAGAACAACTCATGCAGCTAATATCTAAGAAAGCAACTGTCGGAACACTGATCGATAAACCATTCGATCAAGGGGATTGGAACCAGGTTTCCGTGGGACGTGTTCTCTCAGAAGCAGAACGATTTAGCCATGAAGCTAGGGGGCAGGCGGGACCTCATAGGGCCCCTGCAGTGGATCCAGTGCGGGATAATGAACGGCCTGTGGCGAGGCCACCACAGACATGCGTAACGTCGAGGGTATCGGTAGTTCCTGAAGCTACACACGGTCGGGGAGGGATCGACGGTCGGGGAAGGATCGACGGTCGAGGAGGGATCGACGGTCGAAATGGGATCGACGGTCGAAAGGGGATCGACGGTCGAAAGGGGATCGACGAAAGGGTCATTTCGAGAAAGCGAACGACTCGGGAGAGGCACTCGGTGGTGACGAAGAAAAAGGCGACTAAAGGGGAAGCGACCTTGGACGGAGCTCACCACGGTGTGCTCAGACAGGCGGCGGTGGACGTACCAACGCCGGTGGCTGACAGTATACTAGCTTCGAGTTGCTTGATACGCCATTATGATCAAATGGTTGGGCATGATCAAATGGGTGGGCAATGCACCAATGCAACGAGTCAACTGTGGAATGATGTGCCAACAATTCAGCAGCTGGAACGGGTCCTGAACGACGGTTCAGGATCTACAGTGAGTGACAGTTTCGTCCATTCGTTTGTGGAGAGAGCGTGGCAAGAATACGGACCGCTTTTAGCACGTTCACTGGACCGCTTATTTGATGAACAGGAGTCCGTGGGGTAAACAGCGGAGGAACCATTTGATGGGAGCTACCTGAAGAGAAATCAGGAGACTGGCTTGTCCTACGTTCCACCACCCGGACGACTTAGGACTAGAAATCGACTGTACTTAACGCAGCGCTAACGGCGTGGGCGTGACTACCTAGAGGACAAGTGGGTCGACCAGTAAGTATTCCGGCTCAGAAGAATGCAGCGTGATTTCGAAGCATTCTTCCCCGCGAGGACTTATACAAGGCTCAGTGACCGGAAGCTGTGAGGCCCGTTGGCCAGCTCACCTCCTCACGTAGAGAACGATTTGGCAAGAATATTCTCCACTGGTGAATAAAAGGAAGAAAATTGAAACGGAATCGGCCTTGAACGGAGCTGGCTTAGGGATGTTTGTATGCACTCGAATGCAATCAGTCGGTTGCTGAATGGTTGCAGTACTACCGACCTTTCAGCAGCGAGATAATCATTTAGCGGCCAACGCGTGTGTGGAACACAAATTCCGAAACTGTAGTAAGTGGTTTTATGAAATCATTCACTGAGGAAGAAACATGGATGTTTTTTATCGACGAGCTAGATCGTTTGATAAGCGACGTGGGTCGTTTGTAGAGCGAACTGAAGGGCACCGGGTATGGTGACGTACGCGGCCCATGTGATGTCTTACGTTTTGTGGAATGGGTCGCGAAGCCATCGCCCGCGGATGGCTGCTAAGAACCTAGAGCAGGTGGTGCGTTGGTGTTGATGTCATTGCGGAAGGACTTGGGCGGGCCGTTCTTTTGGTTGCTCGACCGCTGGGACGAAGTGAGGCGGCTGGAATATAAATACCAGTTCTCCTCGGGAAGATGTTGACGGTGCCCGGGCAAGGGAGATCATCATCTCTGTGGACGTATTGTGCGCTAGGCATGTCTACAAGAGGAGCTATTGAGTGTCCAGGGTCGTTCGCAGTACCACCTGAAGTCGTTCCAACTGAAGTCGTTCCAACTGAAGTCGTTCGAACTGAAGTCGTTCCAACTGAAGTCGTTCCAACTGATTCAGGAATTTGGACCCCGAACGTGTCGAAAAGGGAGCTGAACGAAAGCGGTTGGAACTGGCCAGCGACAGGCTACGAGTCGTACTGGATGAGTCGTTTTTGGCTGCCGTTGGACAAGGAGGGTTTCG